TTCCTCCTTCCTCTACTGATCACAGCCACATGTTCCTCCTGGCAGAGCTGTGCCTTGGCCTGGCTGTGCTCGCTTGCCTTGTCCTGCTGCTGGGGTGAAGTTGCAGAGCCTGTGTGAACTGCCAGGTGCACTCGCTGATAACTTACCCTTTTCTCCCTGCATTCATCTGCTGGGATGGGAGTGAAATACGGGAAGTTTTTTCCCCTGAATGAACATTGAGACTTCTTGCATCAGGCCTGCCCAATCTTTGGCAATAAAAGCTAGCCCACTTCCAAATAGCTGTATATAGTTTTCTAAGAAAAAATAAATGCTCTGGGTGTCAATACATGTTTTATTCCTTTATTTTCTAACAGCTTTATTAAAAATAAATTGCTTTTTAAAGAAAGCATAACACAAGAACAATACAGAGATCATCCCTCCAGTTTGGGTTGCTTTCCTCAGTCTCCCCAGCAGAGAAAAGAGACTGGGCTCCTCTTACCAGCCCAGCACTTGCAGAGGCTAGCCTTGGAGCAGCCTGGCAGAAGAAGGTAATGCCTTGCTGTCGGCAGATGGTGCCCTCATCAGGAATAAGAAACGAGAAATACTTTCCAGAGAGTGTTTGGCACAGTGGCAGCTTTGTCTGGAATCATTTAGGAAGAGGACAAGGTCCTTGGTTGGTGACTCCTTGCAATGTCAGCTTCAGCCTGTTGGAAGCATCCCAGCTCATTTTCAGAGATGGTTCTGTCCCCAGAAAACTCTTTCTTATGATATCACTATTGGCCTTCCTCTACAAATTACTGTACAACTTAAATGTCAGTATTCAAAACTTGAAGTGCACAGGGTTTGTTCAGCCAGAAGTACAAATGAAATTTACTTTGGGCTCCTGGCAAGACTTTCTTTCACATTTATCAAACTGACATTCAAACCAAAGAAGTAAAATTATAGCTAAAATATCAGGTGCCATTGAATGCCTGGAGAAACCATGACAGGAGTGTTGCTTTTCTTTCCCTCCTATAATCAAATTTATCTACACTTCTGAACAAATGCCTACATGAAGTATTTAATGGTTCTTTCTTTTTTTCCCTTGGATCTGGTTTTGCATCTTAAACAAGCTGATAGCTCAGCCAGCATGGACAGGGTGTTTGTGGCTGTGTGAAAACCCTGCCATGCTCACGGTATCTGGGATGTCCAAACGTAGGCTGCAGAGCCTTGGTGTAGGCACCCCAGGTGTGTAAGTGTGGCCGAACAGAAAAGGTCCTAGCTTCCAACTTCTAACTGGTTGTCTTGTCCAGTAAAGCCATTTCTCAGCTTCAGTCTTTCTTGACTTTTAATGTGGTGCAGTAACTCAATTCCTGCAGATAAGCAGGACTTGCTCAGGGCAGATATGCCAAAGTGCTCTTTCTTTTCCAAATTCTCATCTTGTAATCCAACGGAATGAAGAGATTGCCCATGCTTTTACCGTCTGTCATATTAAAACATTTTTTTTAGCAACTGTTGATATCTTGGCTGAAAATACTGTTTTTCAGAAACTTTTTTCCCTCTGAATGGTATCATCTACCTTTCTTTTTCACTGTTTCTAGCCTCTTTTACCTAATGTTTTTAAATGCTCGATACTGACTTCATCTTCAATGTCATGGTGTTGGGTTCTGCTCTGTAGACCCTTCCTGTTCCAGCTTGTATTGTTGCTGTTCTGCCAAGCACTTGTAAAGCTCAGTATGCCTCAGGTGGGCAGGTGTTTCCAGATGTAGCTCTGCAGGAGAGGTCCATCCTTTATCCCAAGTGCTAAAGGGATTCCTTGGTCCCAATTCATGCTTTTCCCCCCATGACAATTTGAGATGTCAAAGGAGGAATATTTCTGATATCCTGTGTCATACCCTCATGTACCCACTTGGCAAGGAAAGGTCTTTGAGAATGAGAAGTCAGAGGACATAGACCGTTACCTACATGTCCTCTCCTATCTATTACCTGAAGATGGAGCCCTATTTACAAACTCCACAAGTGACCTCTCGTGGGAGAAAGGAAGGGGAAGAAATGATACAACAGAACAACATCTTCTGTTCATATGGGGAAAAAACTAACAAAACTCCCCAAGTAACTAGACGGTGGAAGCAGGGCAGCATTTCAAGTTGCAGGGTTTTTCCTTATTCAGAATGAAAGTTCTTTTGGTTTTGGGTCACTGCCACAAACCAAAGGAGCAAGGAAGGGGGATTTTTTTTTTTTAATTTATTTTTAGACATATTTGAGAGTTTGAGAAGGAAGCTTTTGATCATCTTCAAGGTCCAAAAAAAATGAATGGGAAAGGGGAGGCAAATGTAGCCATGTAGCTTAAGACAGAAATTGCTGCTAGCCCTGCTTCAAGAGAAGCATTTTGTGGAAAATAGCAATCCTGATAAAGGAAAGGGCATGGGAATAAATACCATAAATAATACCATATTTTGTCCTCAAGTTGGTGCTCATGTTCTCAGAAGTGGGAGCCATGGTTTATGCCTGTAAGGATGGCAAAACATACTGTTCACTTTCTTTGTCTTCTGCTGCTGAAGATATCTTCTTTCAGGTTGAAACATCCCATAGTTAACTGCTGCCAAAAGTGATATTTTAATTTTGATGAAAAGATTAATGTGTTTTAAGCAGGAGAAGAGTAAAAATAAACATTTCCTCTCTATTAAAGCTGATAAAATGAGGTGTGTGGGGGTTTGAGTAGCTGTACTGCTAAAACAACTAAATTACAAAAACTGAAGATTAGCTGTGATTGCAGAGCAGTGCTTATCCTTATCCTCAATGGACTTGGTTTGGGTTATTCTACTTTTGTTCAGAGTTCAGGATGAACTGGAGTAGCAACATGTTGCATGTGTCACTTCACCTCAAGCTAGTCATCGCACCAGGCGGGAACCTGAAATAACAAGAACCGCCTTTGTAGAGTGAGGCAAAAGGGAAGGAAGAACCATCATGGAAAATGCAGATTTGTTACAATTCTACTGATTAGATTTTTGTCAGCTTTAACTAAATAATTACATGGAAAGTTTCTCTAATTCAGTGTGTCCTTTTGAACAGGAAAGGAGAGAAGTAGGATAGAATAAAATGCCAGACCCGGTAGGTCCGTTAATGTACCAGATGGCCAATGCACTTCAGGCAGTGGAAAAATTATTTGCAGGAGAGTTACAACTTTCTGATCTTCTCATAGATATTATTGGTTTCATGAATAAATTTCCATATACTTTTAGCTACCGTGGTTCCAAATTAGGTAGAGTAGGGACATTTCACAGATGAATGACTTCCAGCAGGTATGTGTGGCATGCTTTTAGGCATCAGCCTTAGTTTTGAGCTCTATTTGTAGGCTTGAGATGCTGCCAGCTGTGCTGATGCTTTCATTGGAAGAGAAGAAACATGATCTCATTAAATACAGTAGATAGTGGAGATTGTTTCTATAAAATTGGATAGCTGGTGTTGCCTGATCTATGAGGCTGTGAATAAACCATCCAGCTTTCCATGCTGTGTAGTAGAAGCAATGAGCCATTTGGATGCTAGTGTACCTACACAGTAAGGAAACTGCAACGACTCTTCTGCCCACTGTCATTAGTGAAAACAGAGCCTGTAGCATTTCTGCTGCCTTGATTCTGTGCTGCTGCCTGGAAACCTGAAGGAGAGGAGGCAGTCCAAGCGACGTCAGCCTGGATCTGGGATTGCCCTGGCTCCAGCAGTTCTGCAGAACGTGACACAATTACTCACCGGGAGACCTGGGATACTGCTAACAGGAGTGCAAATGTATTGGCAAAAGAGAGGGGATTGCTAGGCAACTATGTCTGTGTGCCTTTTGCTTAGTTGTGGAGTATTTGACCTGTCCTCCTGTCTAGTTCTTGCCTTTCTCTGTTACTACCGTTTGTATTTGTTGCCTGTTGCAACGTGATGTCATGTAACAAATAGGAAGATGAGATCTTTCCCTGCAGAGTTTGTGCTCTACTACACAGGAGGGATGGGGCATGAATTAAAGTGTACTCTGTAGGCAGTGAGGAACATGTATGGCAAAGATCTCATCAGCATGCAGGGGTCTTGTACTTTTGTATTTTTTGCTGTGCTGCTGCTGGTGATGCTCTGCTGTTGTCAGATAAGAAGGTTGGGACTTGATTTTGTAAATACACATTTCAGGGAGCAATCATGTTTGCTAAAGAGTAAAGCTAGCCTCTGGAGAGGATATCTTGAGGTATTGCTTTTGTGCTTTCAGGATTTCTGACTTGTAAATCACCCTTCTGAACTGGGATGCACTCGATCTTGTATAGCAGTTCTCTGGTCGTTTTTCCAGCTCACATGTGAAATGCTGCTACTTTGCTTTGCGTGGAGGGTAGCTCAGACGTTCCTATGCTGCACGTCTGGCTGGCTGCTTGAGCAGCCCCCAGGGCAAGATCCTTCAATCAGTGCAAGCACAGACCAGGATGACAGGGTATCTGGGACCATGGCCTCCTGCCACTATGTAGATGGGGTTGTCAGCCCTGCCAGTGTTTCTAAATCCGAGTAGAATTGAACGTATATAAGTTTGTGTACAGTTTTGTTAGATGTCTGGCATAATATTTCAGGCTTGCAGCTGCATGGAATTTGGTAGCTGTATTTTCCTTACATATTGTATTCATATAAACTATGTCGATTGTACTTTGAGGCTGATGAAAGTTAAAGTTCAGGGGTACTTTGATTTGAATATAGGTAATTCTTATGCCAGCAGATTTAGGTAACAGATTGATCTCAGTTTCATCAAGTGAAGCTTATAGGGAACGTGAAAACCAGAGCATCAAAATCCTTCAAACAATTAAAACTGAAGAACAGAATTGCTTTTCTGTCTGTGAATGCTTTGAATGATAGTAATATAATGACACAAGACAATGTTTTTACATTAGGTATGACACGAACATTATTCCTGTGACATAGCAGCAGCCAGAAATTTAACCACCTGAGTATTTAGCATCTTACATTAAAGTGTCTTGCAGACCCATTATATATGTGTTATGGTTTGCTATGATTATTGTGTTTTCCAGTGTATTTGAAAAGGATCCCAGTGGAGTTGATTCCACTTCCAGTTCCAGCCACCGGACCAGAAATCTTCTGGAGTTCTCAGCTAGCCAGGAGTCCAGCACAGCTCAGAAAATACCTGGGGACATCATTCCTGAGAAGAGTAATAGGTGAGATGGGAACCTGTAACATAAAGTGGCAGAGGGCAATGGTGCTTTTAGAGCTCACTGCCCTTCCATTTGCTAACCTTTTTGGCCAGTATTATTGCTGCTCTTAGCAGAGAAATTGAGTTTACAAACACAGAGTTTTGAAAGCTGATCTCTTCTATTTTTTTTATTATTTAACAAAGTTTACCAGGTTGCTTTTCAAGTGAGTGTGATGTTTTATCTCCAAGATTACCCAACACATAGAACTTCAGAAGTGTACACGTGGCTATGTTGAATGTTGTTAGGGACAGTGTGGTGGAAGAGTGCGTATAAATAAGTGTATGTCAGGGAGCTTTTCATGGCCTCTTTCAGTTCTTCATCTGTCTGCTTCTTTCCCCAATCTTTGTTTTAGCTTGCATAGTTATGGTATTTGTCATATTTCTCTCTCTTCTTGCTTTTCAAGCTGGAGTATTTATTTTCTTAGTTTCTCAAGAGAAGATTGGAGAAGTTCACGATTAAGAACATAACTCTGAAGTTAGCACTGTACTTTTTAGAAATCTCTGAGTCCATCCTAATGCTTGCCCATTATTTAATTATATAGTTGCTTTCAACCTTCCCAGATCTCTAGCATTCAGTGCATAAGTGAATTTATAATTGTCTCCAGATTGAAGTCTGGCTAATCCAGCTCATGTTTTCCCCTTACAAGATTTATCCTATCAGATTGTCCCTTTCCAGTAGAGTGTTTTGGCTGGTTGAACAAAGCCAGGCACAGATGTGCAGAAAGCCCTAATGTTTTTTGCCATGCAGAAAGAAGACAATAAATCAAGAGCATTTTAAGGCTATAGCCATGGTGAGGGCTTTGTGTCTTAATGTGGCACATTTCAGACCATGACTTATGTGACATAGCAGTAGAGTGGTTCTCTTAGGAGGATATGCTAGTGTCTGTACCTCCTCATTTTCCCCCACTCTTTCACCCTGTTTTTTGGCAAGCTGTGAGCTCTTTGCTGCATATTCTCCTTTATCAGTTCTAGATGCGGTAAACGGGAGAAGCAGATGTGAAGACGGAGAGAAAGATGGGGAAAGGAGAGAATGTGAATAAGGCTTTCTTAAGCTATTATACATGATTTTTCAGAAAGAAGATCAGGTTTAGGAGCCACAGGTCTCTGTTAAAACCAAGAGGAGTAAAGCTGTTATATTGATGCCCTAACAATAGAAGAAAATAGATATTTGGTGATAAGTAGTTAACCCCTCAGGAGACACAGATAACCAGGAGAAAGGAATATTCGTCTTTGTTGCTGAGTGTGCTGTGGATTTTTGATTGAAATACATGGTCTTTTTCACTTTTTTATCAAAGTCAAGCTGGCTTCTGGAGATTGTTGATGTAAATCCTCTCCACTCAGTTGTAATATAGTTTGTGGCTGCTCCACTGTCATATAGCTCACGGTCTCTACATCTGCATGGTTTTAGTGGCTGATAAATTTAGTATTTCTGTAGCAAATCTTGCATGGCTCTGGAGTGAAAGAGAAAGTTGCCTCTGCAGAGATGTCATAGTTTACATATTATGAGGAATATTTTACAGGCTATATTTTCTTTCAATATCTGGCCTGTTTGGGAAGAAATCCAACATCTGCTAATGCTCAGCTGTCTGTTGAGTGCTATCAGACCCCTTTGGGGAATTGGCTGGGACCATTGGATGTTTGATAGAAATTGTTACTCACCTGTTTCAGAAGTCCCATAGGAGCACCTGTAACATTTGTGGGTTTGCTGATGGTAGTGCTTATTCTCTGGGTTTAGCCAAAGGTTCAGGAAAAACTAGTTTAAGGGATTTCTTGATGTCTTTTTCTTTTTTTTCCCAGGTATGATCGTTCTGTATCTGATAACAAAGCACTGATGATAGTCTCAGAAGAACCACTGTTATATATTTCACCACCACCACCCCCCTGTCAGCCCCTGATCAACCGGACAGAGTCCCTCAGGTGAGCAAACAACCTTTTCTGAGCATTTAAGCTTTTATTAGGAGTTCAGATATAAACTGTGTGTTGGGTGAGTGCTACTGGCCAGTCAGCTCTGGGTGGTTATTGTCCATTCACAGTGTTCATCCAATATGTGACCGGTGCCTCTGTGTCTGCTACCATGGAGACAGGAGGTCGACTTGGATCTTTGTCATCTTTTGGTGTTTTTAGTAAAGATTTTCACTCAGTTTTCATACTGGTCATTTAGCAATAGCTGAATAACAATTTTCTGATTGACTGGAGGTTTTTCATGACTTGAAAGAGAAAACACTGCATATGTAGAAATGTTGATATTATGGAAATCAATTCCAGCTAAAAACCTGTTCCATCTGAAGTACATAAAAGATGGTCTCCTACTCTTCAGCTTCTGACAAAACCAGACTTACTTAACCTGATACTGCAGATGTGCTTTATTCACTGTTAGAAAATACCTAGCTTCACTTTTTCCAAAGATATAAGTGCGTCTCTAACCTTGTCTCCATTCTGCTTTGTCCATTCTTTCTGTCAAGATTACTTGCCATATTTCAGCCTTCTTAATCAGTATTTTGTCTTGAACTGATCAACTTTTGATTTTAAATTTTAGTAGTCCTTCTAGTAATTTCAGAATTACTGTTTATTGGGCAAAAGAAAGTACTGTATCTGCTTTATTTTGAAGCACCGACGATCCTAATAATTTATAGAAATTTCCTTACAAATTCCCTCATAAATTTAATCTTGCAGTTATATTTTCCTACTTCGGTATTGTAAATAAGTTATCATAAGATAAAAGAGTAGTAATTGACAGTGCCTTTATAATGGCTTGTTAAACTGCTTTCTGCCACTGTTCTTTGAAACCTCTGTTAATGCTCTGGGTTTTTTTAGGCTGAATCATGAACTTCGAGGATGGGTTCATAGACATGAAGTGGAACGAACAAGATCTAGAAGGTTGTCAAAGCACCAACAGCAGAAAGCACGGGTTTTGCAGGTAGGCGGGTTTGTACTGTTGAGTCAATAGAATGACAAGATAATTTCAGAGAACATAACAAAATATTCTCGCTTACTTGTCTGTGCTTGTCATTACAGACGAAAGTAGCAATGGTGCCTGTAATTAGGGTACCCAACACTTCCCATTTTAAACTGCTGGGTTTGGTTCATAATTATGTTGTCAAAGTTCTTCCAGTCCTGCTCTTGGATTCAGGCTAAAGATTTTTAATTTTTTTTTAGCAGTCATAAAAATATGCTCAGTGTTTTCTAAAATTACTTTTATGACTTCTCTGTAAGGCCATGTAAGGATAAGGATAGACAATTAGTTAATGGAGAGAAATATAACATACAGCATATGCATGTGGCTCGCTGCTAAGGGGCAGAGCTGATTGGTTTTGTTGATATCTTTCTACTTAATTTTTTCAGATTTTTGCTAGAAGTATACATTTTTGGTAAGACTACAGAATTATGAGATTTGTGCTCATATTTCCCATTTTTAAAAATCTCTTTCATCTACATGGCATATGAATAGTGAGGATGAAATTAAGACTGTGAATTTTTAAAGTATTTAATTTAATTAAGAGCTAGTAACAGCCTTAAAAGGATTTGAACTTAACAATGTGGGAAATACCACACTTTTCTAGAGAGAAATTATTGAATACTAAACTTCAGATTCTTCTCACTGGTGTCTAAAGGAGAATGGTAGAACATTTAAGCAGGTCAAGTTCAGGTGCTCCTACTGTTTCAAATGCCAGAAGTGTGTTGAGGGTGGTCTATTTTGACGGTGGTACAAAGTGGATGTGACTTCAGAAGAATTCTGCAAATCTGGCATCACTGATAGCAAATGTTGCATGTGGATGACACAATATGTGTAACTACTGTGTATGGTGCCAGACTCGCTTCTTTGTCTCTGAAAGTGTGACTTCAAATTTGGATGTATGAAAACACTTGCTTTTTTTGTGTTTCCAGCTTGATTGCTCACCATTTCAGTTATTCGTATTTCAGCAGTGGGAAAATGTACATTTATTGTTCAGAGCACTGATTAACCTCTGCACCCCCTTACATATTGACTCTCTACTACACATGTGCATCATATTTTGTGTCGTGCCAAACTATGGAAATGCTTATTGTTCTCACTTTGTGTCATCTTTGTCTTCCCTCTTTTTCAGAGCTCCCTCAGTGAGAAGGCAGATTCCCAGCTGATGGCCATGCCTTACACAGACACCAGCCTCAGGTAAGGCAGAACTGCTTTGTTATTGCTTTCTACTTAATAATCTAGTTTTTCATCATCAGGTGATAGAAAATGCCAATTCTCACCTTGTTGTCAGGATTCTTAAGTCAGATGCTTAAGAAATTATTTGCCTTATTTCTGTCCCTCACTGCTTCTATTGATTCAGACTGCGTGTAAAGAAGCCCCTGTATCACAGCTCCGCTCTTCTGGGGCTTTTCTACCACTGTGTCTAAAGAAAACCTTTACTTCACTCTGCAGAATTCATTCCTAAACAGATTTTAATCTTTAGGGAATAAAAAAGGGGGGATTGGCTTGAGACTATCTAGAGGAACATCAGTAGTTCATAAGAAGGTTTGAAAGAGTCTGGTAAGAGAAAAGTTTCACTGTCTTCAAGAATAGAGCCATTATAGTAGACCTACATTATTTTGACAAAGTTAAAGTATTACTACATCTTATTTGCATGGTTTATCTTCATCTCCTGCTTTTTCCTGATGATCAGAATATAATAATCCAGAGTTTCCTGATTCCCCCAGCCCTCCCCCATCCCATATACTTATTCTGTTCCTCTTCCTTGGGGACAGGAAGAACTGAAGAGAAAAGCTGAAGAAAATGAAAATTCTCCCTCCTGAATTCTCTCTGACAGTGTTTAAACGGTTCTCTGCTTTGAAGTGACAAAGAGGAGTAAGCAGAATGGGGTATAAAGTAGACTTTTTCTTGAGAACAACACCTGAAATGTTGCCATTGAAAGTAAGACAGCTGTGGCCCTTCCATTTGCATTGCTACTTTGAAAGCAGGATCAGCCTGGGAGAAAATAGCAAGCTGCAGGCAAACGTTATGGAAACCAGGCTGCCAAGGTTTGATAGGTCTTGTCTGAGAAGTAAAAATGAAAAAGTTCTATTAGTTCTACAGGCAGATGAAAGATGTCTGTTTTAACTGAAGACTGGAGGAACAAGCCTCACGGCATAAGGCAGTTTAATATACATGCCTGCATTACTCTTAAAAAAAATATCTTGATTATTAAAACCAGTCAGCAAAATCATGCAGCTCTGTATGGAATAATCTCCTGTACTCAGAAGGAAGTAGGACTTTTTTTTTTTTTTTTTTTTTGCATGAATGATGTTTAAATGAACAGAACCAGTGAGTCATGGCAGCTGCATGCTGTGACTGTCCAGGAACTGCTAAGAACATAGAACAGACTTACAGTTCCTCCCAGAGCCATCAGCTATTAGATGCTCCATGAAATCATAGAATCACAGAGTAGTTTATGTTGTAAAGGACCTCTGGAGATCTCTAGTCCAAAATCCTACTTGAAGTTCAGGTTTAATCTACATCTGTGTCAGAAAAGACCATCTCCATCTCCTTTTACAACACCCATTAGGAAGCTGAGGGTTGCAGTGAGAGCCAGCCCCCTCAGCTTCCTCTTCTTCAGGCTGAACAAGCCCAGTTCCCTCTGTCTCCTGTCTCTCCTTGTACATCCCTGCTCCAGGCCCTGACTAATGCAGCCCAGTATGCAGTTGTCCACGAGGTGCCCTGCTGGCTTTCATTCGGCTTGCCTGTCAGCACCCCAGGCCCTTTCTGTGGCTTTTGTGCCCCATCGATTGGGAAGACAGGAAAGGTGCTGTTTATTCAGTTTTTCATTGATGCTACCCCTGAGGCATTGCCTGTGGAGAACTGTCAATGAGCTAGCATCGTCTCTGCAAATGTGTAAAACCAAAAACCAAACCACTTTTAGGTTTCCTTATACATAATGTTCATGTTCGCGGATGGCCATGAAGCTTTTATTAATGATTCAGGTACCCTTTTGTGAAGTATACAGTCAAGGCTTTTAATTTTTAGTACTAGTGCTGTGACTGGAAATTTAGGGACCTTTACCTTCTAGAACAACCTTGTTGGTGACCTGAGTCCATGAACAGGAGGACGTTGGCAGGATATAGATTTATCTTTGTAGTACTGATGGTACCAACATTGTCACATTGGTCCTGGATTCCAGAATAGAATTGATTGATTGAAAAGTATTGCAGTGAAGTCAAAGCAGAGGAAAAAGATCAAAATCAAGATAATTTCAAAGAAAGCCTTTACCCTCTCCCCCTGCCCAGCTCTCTTCAGTCTTTTTAGCTTTCTTCAGAGGTAATTTTGATAAGGGTTTCTGCAAGAATGTCTTTAGGGCTCCAGATATCAAACTGGGACTCTCCAATTCTTTTTGTTTATAAATTTTACACTATCAAAATTGTGGTTCTTGGTGCATAAGGCACTGAGTCCACAACCTCATTCCGTCTTAAAAGAAGCATGTGTGCAACATCCCAGTGCTCAGTGATGCATAACAGAGTGCCCTTTGAACTTCTAATACACACTTATTATATACATTGTATAATATGGTGCTTTCTTGTAATATGGTAATGTATTACTAAAACAACTGGTAGATTGCACCTGTTTTCAGATCTTAAGTTCCTTCCTTCCTTCCTTTCATGGAAGAGTCCATAGTGAGTACTCTTAAATGCCCAAAAGTGTAAGTATGGTGTAATACCAGTGGATTACTGGTATCAGCTGGTGATGGACTTGTTCCATGGAGCCAGGAAAGCTTTGTAAAGGCCCAGTGGTTTCCAAATGCTTTGGAGCAACTTTTTCCCATGGCTGGATTTAGAATTATAAAAGGCTGCTTTTTAGGTCTAACTGTATCTTCTTGAGTGTGGGCGAGCAAACGGATCTGTGGGACCTGTTTCAGTTTTCAGGATGTGTTTTACTGAGCAATGTGTGGGCGTGTTGCCTTTTATCACAGTAAAACTTCAGTGCTGAATCTCAGGGGTGGTTTGGTGGGCCTACGTGTTTTTATGAATGAGTAATCAAGCTCAAATTAGCTCCAATCTTTGTTTCCTGTATGTGAAGGACGTGATCTGATTCCTCACTTGCATAGTTCTTCTAAAGAGGATATATTGGGCAGAGCTGCCTGCTCTTGATCCCCCAGGATTTACACCCCCAATCTTGTTGAAGGGTAACTGGCTTGGCAGCTACAGTCCTTCGATTGCAACAGGGCTATATTAGAAGTAAGAGAGGAGATAATGATGGTCTACCATTACTACTGCTCAACAAAATCACTTGATGATAGATTTGTGCCTTGTTTTGGGTGCATAGTTATGTGTATTTTAGAAACATATCAAAATAATCTAAGTCAGCCACCACAGTTTAAAATCTGGGTCAGCAGAAGGCAGCTTGGGAGGGATAGCCTGATCAGTGATTTTGCCACAAATACTGCAAGCAGACGATATGCTATTAAAGTGGGAAAGAATTAAAATGACTGGTTGAAGGTCCAGCTACTGGTTTGTGTAAGTACAGCTTTCCAATTTGATTAAATATGTTATTTTTAAATGGGATTGGGGAAGTATACATAATATCAATATGTGCTGGGAATTTCTCACCTTTCCAAGATAAACAGTGGATAAGTACCATGATTGTACAATTTACCAGTGGTTTTGCTTAGAATAGTTTATACAGAGTGTCTTTTCCTCATGTCTGACATATGTAAGACGGGAATTGTGAAGATGACAGAATTATGTGCATATCTCATTTTTACTCCACTGTCTAAATTGAAAATAAAGAGCAAATCATTGAGTTGACCAAAAAGGTGCACGCGCGCGCACACACACACACACACAAAAGTGGGTGAGAGAGAAGGTGGGGTTGTCATTTGACAGTAAATTAGAAGCTCTGTTTGTGCTTAGCTTTGCAGTTCTTTCAATTTGAGTGGTTTGAATCCTTAGCAATAAAAAGAATCTTTAAATTATTAGATTTTTTTTATTTCAGAATGACATTTCATTCTAAAATTTGCTAAACTCTATTTCCAGAAGTCATCACAATTTTTCAGACAATTTAGGTTGACTTGTAACCTTTTTTTTTTTCTGTTGAGCTAGCAAGTGGGTTTTTGCCAGCCTCAAAAGCATGAATAAAATAAAACCTGGGAAAGTTTCCTGCAGTGAGACCTTTAAAGCACCTTGAACTTTAAAAAAATACCCATTAGTTTTGCTGTCTTCAGTTGTGTTAAATGTTCCTCATGCTTCTCTCAGTGGATGAAGAGCTGCTGTTCTTTTGAAAAGCAGATCTTTAAAGTCATTGTCTCCCTGAAGTTAACTTTCTTGTCTACAATAATTATATTCCCCCTTCTTTATTTCAGCAGGAACTCAGGGAATGAGCTACAAGTGTATTATGCCTCTCCAAGGAGCTATCAAGATTTTTTTGAAGCTATTCGCAGAAGGGAAGATACATTCTACGTGGTGTCATTTCGCAGAGTAAGTATAGTAGTTGTTCAATACTGGCCTTTTATGTGTATCCATAAGACTGTTTCTAACACTGAATGTCCTTCCTTGTAACACAAAAGATGACCTAGTCAAGATTGAAGCTAAATTTGTTCCTCCATAAGTGATGCTTTTGCATATCCTCTACAGTAATATGGCCCAATCATGTTCTCTGCAAAATATGCCCATCACAGTTAGGAATGGAAGGAGAGCTTTGCAGAAAACATTGTGGTGCCAGTGCAAGGCAGCATGAAATTGCATGAACCCTGTGGTTAAACATTTATGCATGGTAGCAGTTCAATAATCGGAATAGTTACCTGGATATTTATTTAATAGGTATATAAACCTTTTGTGCTTCTGGGAATAAATGTACCCTGCACACAAATTATTTCTGCTAGCTTAACATAATGTTTTTTCTGTCTTCCCCTAAAATACTTCCATTTGCAGTTTTTTGTGTCACATATTGCAGCTGTACAGGACTCTGAGCACTGGCACATTTTTTCTTCTGCTTTGTGACTTCAAAGTTGAGACAGGCGAGCAGTTCCACTGTGCTAGGATACAGCATAGGCTTGTGCTACAGCTTTGTCAGGCACATGCTCACATCTGTAGCGCAGTTAGTGACAGTGAAAGCTGTTTTAAAATGGAATTCCAGGTGTTTGATGGCACTTTCTGTACTGCAAGCCTGAGTGATGTTGAAGCCAGGACAGCTGCAGCTGTGAGAAGCTGCTTGGGATCTGTTGGTGGAAATGATCAAGGCAAACAGTGGTTGAAACAGCAGCTAGGGGATGGAAGAGTTTATTTCCTCCCTTCTGAAGAGGTCTTGATGAGTCCTTTAGACATGTCTATAATGCATATTTGGCCCTGGCCTGAACCTGGGGTCTTCACTTGCTAAGCCTCCTGCCTCACTATTTTCTAGTCATGATATTAGATTGTTCTATGCATGCTCACTCCCAGCCACAGTTTTCTTTGACTCTCCATTTGTTTCCTCGTCATAAGAGGAGGTCCCAAGGTGATGGGAGACCAGTAGTTGCAACTACAGTGGCTCATCCAGCTACAACAATTCTGTGTAAGAGCACACAGATGAGCATAACTAGTTTTAGCAGTTTCTGTGTTGCCATAATTCTACCAATCTGTAGATGCCGTATGTACATGGGTAACACATCACTGTTCGTCATGATCTACAGTCATTTTTTTAATTTGTGAGATACATGTCTTTAGAAAAGGTTCAGGCAAAATAAAAATAGTGGTGCTGTTGTTAGGATTAGAGTTTTATACTGAGTAGAAATATGAGGCTAGTTTCTAATCCTGGGATTACTGGGTTGTGTCACCAGGCTGGAATTTTGTTATTAAACGCTTGGCATGTTCTGCTGTTCTTTCAGCTAGCAACACAAATATAGCCGACACCAGGCTCCACATATCCTGAGGATGAGTAGAAGGGAGTGGAGAATTGATTATAAAAGTTTTTTCTGGAAACTCCAGACAAAAAGCAGAATAGTGTTTGTCTGTCTGTTCACTTGCAGCCATTGCTCTAGTCCACCTGAATGCACGTACTGATACGTAGGTTCTGTTTACGCTGTCAGATTAATGACCTGGAAGTTGTCAGCTCTCATTCTGATCTGCAGAGCTGTCCTTGGAAACAGTGCATCTTGTGCCACAGAATCCCTACTGCTTGGCTCTGCTCTGTTACAAGGAGAGGTGTGGGGACTTTTTTAAACCATCTATGAAGTTTATTTGGTAACAAAGCTGTTGGTATTTCTGTTTTATGAATGAAATGTCCTCAAATCAAAGTCAGTTTTATGCATTACCTCATTCATTATTTTAACAGGGCAAACCTGATCTAGTGACAACCTCTGTCCTGAGGCACTTTTAAATTAATTGCTTGGATTCTTTTGCGAGTGCAGAAGAAGGGACTCCTGCACAGCCCGAGGGGTGCCATCAGCAGGGCCCCAGCCAGGGAGGTGCCCTTTCCCCTCCTCCTGAGGACTGCTGACTTCACTTTCCTTGGACCACAATTCCTTTTTCACTGATGATCAGGAGCTGAGAGAGGGGACTGATTTCCTCCTCAGTGTTACTGGTCAGGTCACTCGCGTTGCTTGCTCACTTGTCCAAGTTAGAAGGCAAGGCCTGGAGATGATAGGTTTTGTTCTCCTCTCTGGCTGTTTGCCATGCAGACACTCCCAAACACTTAATAAGCTGTTAAGAGCCATTTACAAAAGAACAAGAATCATCCAGTTAAGAGTTCAGGGAGCGGATGGTTCTGGTATTGGTGATGGTCTGTCTCTGAGCAGGAGGTGGGACTACAGATCTCCAGAGATCCCTTCCACCTGATGTCTCTGGGATCCTCTTTCCACATGCTTCCTGCTGTGTGCAGTGTCACATCACCCAGCATCTCTCATGGGTGCATGTGCTGAAATATAACACATTTTTTGTGTGTATTCTGCATATTCTCACTTGCACTACAGGAGTTGTGCCCTCAATTTTCTTGGAGTTTCTAAAGGTACAAGGCAGGGGAGCAAAGCTCACATGCAGTGTCATCTTCTGGTGATGCTTTGTACCTGTAAGACTGAATTTCTCATGATCCCATTGATTTGTATTTTCTTTCTTTGCCTTAGAAGGCTTGCGTGTCTGCATATTTACAGTTGCAGCTTAATTTTTTTTTTTTTTTTTTTAAGGATGAGAGAGGAAAACAAAATAGTATTTGGATCAGCTAAGTCCATACAAAAAGCTGGGCTTTCACTCTGGGAGTCTAGAGAAATTTATTTTCTGCTATTGCCAGGGGAATCTGTAATGTCATTTTTAAACAAGAAGAAATATGTAACTGACAGTGAGTAAAGAATTCTTGAACCGAGGCAGTGTTGTCTCCTAGCTCTGCCAGGCCTCAGCAGCCAACATCCCTTGTAGGCAAGGCTCGTCACCATTTATTTCTTGAGATGTTAACTTGTTAATTTTATTTTTTCTTGGAAGTCATTGTTTTCAGGTGTCATTTAGCACTGCAGAGGCTGACACCTGGGAATGTAACAAGACAGGTTCCCAGTATTATATCTTCAGCCCTGGGCTCTCTGCTGTCCCCAAATGCTCCAGCACTCAGAAGCTGCATCTTTGCAGCCTTCCTCTAAGTTTGGCTGGTTTGGGTTGGTTTGGGGAGCACGTTCAGAGCTGACAGGTACCGAGACTAAGTTGTCATGCTTTTGTGAAAAGGGTATGGCAGTCTGAGCTTTGCTGAAGCACATTGGACTTTCCAGTTGGTGTTGAACCTTCCTTCTGTTTTTCCCAGGTCTGAGAGGCAGAATTGAGAGACTCTTGCTCTGCCGACACCTTTGATTTCTGTCCTTTAATGTCTGTGATACCAGGTCTGTTCTAAAAAGCCAGTGGAGCACAGCTGCAAAACTCAAGTTAGTTGATATAATGTGCTCTGTCAGCAGGGAGATAGACACCGAGCTGCTGCTGCAGTTCTGTGAGCCTGGCAACCAGGCAGTTCTCTCGCACAGCTCACATCTGTTTTGCCATGGACTATGCAGACCTTGAGATTGTTTCTAGTATTACTTGAATAGCTAGCTTAATTTGCAAGGTAATTAAGTAAATCATTGGAGAAAACAAATCCATTCCAATTTACTTTGGCCTGTAAATGCTGCTCCAGACCGTTCCACTCTCGTGTGGTTAGGATCAGAGTCCCTGCAACTTGCACTGATTAAGCACTAGATTTCCCCATCCTGGAAGATTCTGTCAGTGACCCTTTGATGACATCTCTGCAGGCTTATTAAGGGCAGTGACATTTTTTAGGGTAAGAATGTAATTACTGTTCCTAAGGAAAGCATGGTTTAAAGCTTGATTCGCTTGGGAAATCCAGAAGGCCTCTAGCATTTCCTCTCACTACTTTCTCTATTTGTTTCAAAGCACAAATGTCTCCTGATATCAAAGTTTGACAATTACATTGAATGCAGTGCACGTACAATATCTTACAGTATGTTGCAGTAAAAAAATGGATTTTTAAAAGGTGTTTCTGGTTATCATTTGTTAGAGTGAGAGTGACACTGGCCCTGTGGAACTCAATGGCAAAGCCTTTACCGATTTCAGGAGGACCAGAATTGCACATTGTAAATTTCTGCTTCGGTGCTGTGGCACTTAAACCACAGAGCTGCAGGGAAATGTGTTATTATGGATGTGAATTTCTGGTCCTACAAGCCAACATCTGCAGTGAGCATTTAAGGATTTCTCAAGTTCTGCAAACAAAGTTTCACTGAAGTGATTAAGCCAAATTTAAATCAGAATTTTTATTCTTTCTTTGCGTGAACATTCAATGTACTAGGAATATAAATATCTAAGTTGTGTTTTACTTCTGTTGGTAATAAGCCTGTGTTGTGTTAACTGAATTTGGAATGATATATTACTTTCAGGAAGCAAAAGATTATAATGCCTGGCTTTGACATTCTTGTGTAGCAGTAGTTTGCTGTGCTGCACACGCAGTTCTGGCAATAGTTTGAATTTATTTAGAGCATGAATGAGGCAGATTCCAATGCCCTGCACTCTTGATGCCATTTGCATCCTGCAGGCAAAGCTGCATTATAAGGAGTTGGCTTCAGATGATGTTTTGTAGCCAGAAATTCAGTCCTAACGTATACTTTTCTCCTATTTTGTTACACTTAACAATGGGTGGGTTTTACTGAACATGAAGTTTTCTGCTGTCAAGTTTGTTTGTGGATTTCCATGGGCTGGGGTGTATAATTTGGTCTTCCATTCAGATAAAATGCAATTATTAGACTCACATAATCCTGCTGCTCCTATAACCAAGGTAGGTAATTTATATTTTTGAGACCTGTGGGTTTGCAAAAGCTGCAAGTTAACATGCAGATATTTGAAAGATTTTACAAACTACCCTTTCTCTTTGGGGAGCCTGACCTTAGCTATTGAGGTGAAAAAATTACTTTATCTTAGGATCCTAGGATTTTAAGATATTGTGCTATATTGTGTAGAGATGCTGAGAATACTTGAGGGTA